TTTTGATCTTTGTGTATCAACACCTTAAGCTTCTACTTTTTATTCCTAATCATTCACATATAAGAACACTTCACATCTCTCTCTCTTTCGATAATATTTTATTCTTCAATTATGTACAAAACATTCTTCAAAAACAAGATTTACACCCTTAACCATTATTTTGAAATAAACAATAAATGATTTGTCAGAGTTTTTTCCTGTCAATTTCCCTCTAGCAAATCATTCCGATTCCCCTCTATCTTCTTCTGCTATTTCTTTTTTTCTTTTTCACCTTTTGTATAATTTGACACTACTTAATTCACTGGGTTCGTCCTTTAATTGATTCCTTACTTGATTCTTGCGTAATGTTAATTAGCACGTTAATCACGACAAATGGGTGCAACTCCCCTCTCGACTTGTAAATATTTTGATCAAAACCTGGGCGCCTTCACAAAGATTGACTGTACTTCTCTTCAGTTAACAGTAAAATTACGAATAAAGCTAATGGAATCCATATTACTAGTCTGATTTGCAATCGTTAAAACTTCATACAAATTAGTGAATGCTTAGAAACTTTATAAAATTGGTGGGTTTTTTATTTAAATTTAAATTATTAATTTCAAAACCAAGGATTTAGATTTCACCGAAAATATATCATGTTAGCACTAACTGAAAATAAGCCAAATTCAAGGAGTAAATGTGTCTATTTAAAAATGTTAAGTTCTTGTGATTTGAAATTAAATACATGTCATTTAAAAAAAAAAAAAAAAACCTGTTTTGTTTCCCCTGTTGTTTTAATTAAAAAAATAAATTTATTACTAGATCTACTATTTTTTAAGTAAAAATATAACAACTAATATTACCAAAAAATATTTTTATTAAGGGTGAAAATACACTCCTGGTGATCCCTTTTTCGTGTATTTTAATTCTTTTTTATAAAATCTTATTTGCACGCTTTAATTTTGGCTTTCATAGATGACCTTAAACACCTTATTATTTATATTCACAGAGAATATTATTTTAAACCAGCTTAATTAATCATGATGTGAAAAGATTTTTTTTAATGTAATTGAAAATTATATCTTTGTAGGGGAAAAAATTATAAAGTGAAAGGAACAGTACAGGACTCTGATGACATCATGGGCGTGATGTAGAGCTATGGCGACAAATTAAGTCCCAATAGGCAGGAACATCTACCAGACAACTGTTACTTTGTAATAAATTAATAATGTTGGGTCTCCTCCTCCTTCTCTCCTTCTCCTTCTTCTCCTTCTTCTTCTTCACGCTTTATTGTTCCCTTTTCCTTTAAACGTTCATTCATTATATCACTACTGATAAAAAGAACTGGAGATGCTAAAGAGGGAAAATGCATCGAAATGGAGAGCAGAAGAGGGAACGAAGAACGGAATATAACACGAATATAATTCAAATCTCTTCTTCATTGCCAGGCGTTAGATGTTCTTTCTGGCAAAATATTATGGATAACCACTAATTAAATCATTTGGCAAAATAAGAAACACAATCTAGCTAGACAAATAAAGATAAGAAATGGAAAAGAAAAAAGAAAAAAAAAGAGAGAGAGGGAAGGATCTTTTAACAGAATCACACAGAAAGCATTGTTTTTTAAGCTTGTTTCACGAGTCCCTGGACAATATCTTTGATTACTGCAGTACCCACACAAGTGCACACATATGATACGATATTCTCATAAATAAATATTCCTCTAATTGTTTCTTATCGAGGTAGAATTTATAAGTGTTCTATGATAATTCGATTAGCTTTCTAAGTAAATACAAGGTTCAAGATAAATAAAATGGTTATTTAGCGTCAAGATAAATAAAATGGTTATTTAGCGTTCTAACTAGTTTGATTCTTCACACTAACGAAGCAAAAAAAAGAGCAAAGAAATAGATGATACAGTTCTTTTAACATGAAGAAAAATTATAATGGGAAATTAAAGGTTGATACATATATCTAATAAAATAGCTGATAGCTATTTTAAATTGAAAAATAATAAAAATAAAATTTGATATCCAAGTTAGTTTTCTTATAATTAGAATAACCAGCACCTAATAGCTAAAAACAATTGAGGATTTAAATATACATTTCACATAAAATTAAAAGATATCATTTATTTATTCGTGTTTTTTATTTTAACCTTTTATCTTTCAATTTAATTATTTCTTAAAAAAAATATGTAATTACATGCTAATTTGGGTTGATAAGAACTTAATTGTGAAAAAACAAAAAATGAAAGATTAAATGAAATTAAAAAAAAACTATTGTTCCAATTCAAATGATATACATGAGAGACGATAAAAAGTGATTTTAAAATGATAAAAATATTATATCATTTATCTTTTTTTATAATAATAATATAATGTTCAATTTTATAAAAAATCAACAAAATAAAAGTTTTTTTAAAAGTTTTCAAAAAAATTACAAGCCTAATATCATGATCTTTATGCAAAATATGCGAGTTAAAAACTCTATATCTCGTTAATATAAATAACTATTTTTAATCATTCTCTATTTTTTCAATAGTATTTTATTCTTTAATTATCATACAATATAATACAAAACAAAACATGCTTTAAAAACAAAAATTTTACATCCTTAATCATTATTTTTGATTGCCCAGAAATTAATTATTTGTAAGTGCTTTGTATTAATTTCTTGTTTGTAACCAAGTTGGATCTTACCTTTGTGTTAAAGATGGTTTTATAGGAGGGTATTACTTGAACTCTCATATGGCTCTACATGAGAATTTGACTTATAAATTTTAAAAAATATTTTATTTTTAAAACTAGACTAATAAATTTTGAGTTTATCTTTATCTTTTTCTTATTATATTATGAATAGTTTTCTGGACGTAATTCACAGATAAATAACCACTCTAAAAAATCAAACTTGAGGTAATCGTATATTTTATTCTTTAGTAAGTCATTCTGATTCCTCTATTTTTTTTTGCTTTCTTTTTTATTATCTAAGATATAATTTATATTATTTTCTTACACATCTCTTCAAGTGAAAAAATTTTGAATTTAAAATTTGTATAAGTCCACATTAACTTGTACTTAATTTTTATCAAATAAATAAGGATAGTGAGATTTGAACTCATGATCGCTTGATCATTAAGGTTTTAATACCATGTTAAAAAACTATTTCAACGTAATAACTTAAACTATTAAATAAAATCTTAAAATATAATTTATATTATTTTTTAATAAATTTAAACTTCACCTTTTCTTCTCTTTTCAATTCTGATGCTATATACTACTTTACTTGATTCTTATGCAATGTTAGTACAGGAGTTTTAGACATGCACGTTAATCACGACAATGGGGTGCAACATCTCACTCGACTTGAAAATTATATCTTTGAAGGAGAAAAAAAATAAAAAAAAAAACAATTTATAAAGTGAAAGGAACAATATTGTAAGACTCTGATGGCATCATTGGCGTGATGGAGACCTATGGCAATAAAGTCCCAAAAGGCAGGAACATCTACCAGAGAAATATTATCTTGTAATAAACTAATAATGTTGGGTCTCCTTCTTCTTCTCGCTTTATTCTTCCTTTTCCTTTAAACGTTCATTCATCATATCACTACTGATAAAAAGAACTGGAGATGCTAAAGAGGTAAAAATGCATCGACATGGAGTGCAGAAGAGGGAACGAAGAACGGAATATAACACGAATATAATTAGAATCTCGTCTTCATTGCCAGGCATTAGATGTTCTTGCTGGCAAGATATTATGGATAACCACTAAATCATTTGGCAAAATAAGAAACATAAACTAGCTAGACAAATAAAGATAAGAAATGGATTAAAAAAAAGGAGGGAAGGATCTTTTAATAGAATCACACAGAAAACATTGTTTTTTAAGCTTTTTTCATGAGCCCCTGAAACAATATCTTTGATACGATAGGTATTTTGTGTGTAACATCTCAAGAGTGAGGCGCACCATCACAAGTGCACACATGTAAAACGATATTCTCATAAATAATTCCTGTAATTGTTCATCATCGAAGTAGAATTTACAAGTATTTGATGACTTAAATTAAGTTTTTAAATAAATATAAGGACTAAAATTAGGAGGTGATTTAGTGTTTTAACTAGTTTGATTCTTGACGCTACTTAGCCGGATGGAGCAATTTTTTTCTAAATACAAAAGAAATATGTGGGTGATGATATTGTTCTTTTACAGTCAAGAAGAATTGTAAATACAAACTGAAAAGTTAATATATGCATATCAATAAATATATCAATAAATGATAAGATGTTATTGTTTTTATCAGATGTTCGCTTGTACACCCTATTACCAGTTCTTGATATTTCATGGCTAGACATGAACACATGAATAAAAATTTTATATTGAATTTACTCTATACATAACAAGTTATAGATTCTATTTTTATTATAATTGATAATTTCTCAAAAACAATCAAATTTATATCCTGTTGAAAGAATATAAATGCATTACAAGTAACCCAACTTTATTTCAATAAAATGATTTGTTTGCATGGTATTTTTAAATCCATCACTTTACTTTAAATAAAATTTAAAATGTCAAGTTCATAAATAATTTCTAAAAAAAAATATTAAAAAAAAAATTAGCTTAACTTTAACATTACTCATCATCCTTAAACAAATAGATAAACACACTCTAAACAATTTATATTGTCCCTTTCACCTTATAAATTGTTTTTTTTTTCCTAAAAAAATATAGAGGAATCGGAAATATTAAGCAGTTTCAAATTAACGTTGTAAATACAAAAGGTGAAAATGATTTTAAAAAAAAAAAAGCAGAAGAAGATGGAGGAACCGGAATGACTTCCCTAATATAAACCTTCCAATCACAAAGGGAGGACCCCACTTGAGTTTTCTGATTACATACAAGAAACTAACACCAAACACTAGATCGACAAGCCACAAAGGAGACCAGCTTGTCCATTAACACTAAATCCCAAGTCTTAATATTAATTGCTTTCTTTGTCTCTATATATATGGTCCCGTTTTGTGCATGCTCCATCAAACACACCATCACTGCAAGTCTATAGACTCCATACCCGCCCTTCATTTCTTTCCCTTTTTTTCTACGCAGTCGAATCAAAATGATCCAAGAGGATCAGGGAAGCTTGACCGAAATATCAGATTCTAGCAAGCACATTTCCTTCTCCCAAAAAAACAAAAGCCTCTCTTTAGCTCTCTTTGTTTCTCTCTTGCTTGTCGCCACTATAGCTGCCGTTGTCACTCCCGTAAATTCACAGAACTACAACAAAAATGATGCTGCTCATTCCATTATAAAGATGTCATGCAGCTCCACAAGATACCCAGAATTGTGCTACTCTGCGATTGCCAATGGCCCTGGAGCTGCCGCCAGTTTGGCAGCTATCAACGACGAAAACGATGTTCTTACAGAATCCATAAGAGCCGCTCAACAAGCTATTGACACCAATACCGCTGATATAGAGACTTACAAAACCACCAATAAGATGAAACTCACCAATCAGCAAAATGATGCTCTCGATGCTTCCGTGGACAACAATGAATTGTCTCAAAGTGATTTACAAAATGCTGAAAACAGCCTCCTTTACTATACTAACGAGATTCCTCTTAGCGATCAAGATGCTGAGCCGGACATCAACACCCCACTGAGTTCTTGCATAACCTACCAAGACACGATCATGGATGGTTTCTCTCATACCGCCGCAGACAAGCAGGTGCGTAAAGATATTTCGGATGGAGTAGATAATGTTAGAAAAATGTGCATGAATATTCTGGCAATGAGCATGAACATGACAGCTACTCGCATTGCCAATGAGCTTAAAACCACAAAGAGGAATCTCAAGGAGGAAAACGGTAGAAATGAAAGTGGGTGGCCAAAGTGGTTGTCAGTAGCCAACAGGAGGTTGTTGCAGTCATCATCACTGACACCAGATGTGGTGGTGGCTGCTGATGGCAGTGGGAATTATAGTACAGTATCAGCTGCAGTTGCTGCTGCCCCAACGAGAAGCAGTAAGAGGTACATTATCAGAATCAAGGCAGGTGTTTACAGCGAAACTGTGCAAGTACCAATCACTAAGACTAACTTAATGTTTCTTGGAGATGGAAGAAGGAAAACGATCATTACAGCAAGTAGGAGTGTGGTGGATGGCATCACAGCCTTCCGTTCTGCCACAGTTGGTATTTTTCGTTTTTCGATCCCTTCATTTTGCACATTGTTCCTTTTCTTTTTAAGAAAAATCGATACAAATAGAATAATTCTAGAGATATTTAAGCTCTTATACTAACAGTTCTCATGAACAACGCAGCCGTAATGGGTGAAGGATTCCTAGCCAGGGACATCTCCTTCCAAAACACAGCCGGCCCGTCCGGCCGCCAAGCAGTGGCATTGCGTGTTAGTTCTGACCGCGCGGCATTCTACAAATGTAACGTGCTTGGATACCAAGACACCCTCCATGTCCACGCAAATCGTCAGTTCTTCATAAATTGTTTGATAGCAGGCACGATCGATTTCATCTTCGGCAATTCCGCAGCTGTTTTCCAAGACTGTGATATCCATGCTCGTCGTCCCAATCCAGGCCAGACAATCACAATAACAGCCCAAGGGAGGAGTGATCCTAATCAAAACACTGGCATTGTAATTCAGAAAAGCAGGATTCACGCCACTTCTGATCTACTGCCAGTCAGGAGCAATTTCTCTGCGTATCTCGGTAGACCCTGGAAGGAGTATTCAAGGACGGTTGTCATGCAATCATCCATAAGTGATGTGATAAACCGGGCTGGATGGCTCGAGTGGAGGGGAAAATATGCACTGAACACATTGTATTACGGAGAGTATAATAACAGCGGGGCTGGTGCTGCAACCTCTGAAAGGGTCAACTGGAAAGGATACAAGGTGATTACTGCTGCAACTGAAGCTAAAAGCTTTACTCCTCGCAATTTCATTGCTGGTGGTACTTGGTTGAAATCCACTACCTTCCCATTCTCTTTGGATCTCTAAACGTGTCTTTTTATGACGCTACCATCTTAACTACCTCCGCTGCGTACTTGGAGTGTTGATTGTTTGTCTTTTATCACCTGCTCGTCTTAGTTTTTCATTCCCTTGTCTAAGAGTTTCGCTTCATGTTTATGGTGTTCGTCACGTTCTCCTCCGTTTGTGGAGCTTGTCTTTTTGGTCCTAGCTTGGACTCTTAATTATGACTAATAATGGTGTGTGAAATCATTGAAGTTTACTTTGTTGATGCCGCTTGAATTTATAAGCATGTAGCTTTGCTATTATCACTGCTTAGTTGGGTTGATATCCATTCTTCCTCTTTAAGAGATGAAAACATGTCCATCCTACTAGAGATGTGTTCACTTTCTGTGGAACCCGCCTGCTTACGATATAAATTAAGGATAAGGATTCTCCACGTAGAGACAAGAACAGAGATGATGGTTACCAATTCTGCGTTTTTTCACGGTTTTCATGCCGTGAAGAATCTAACACAAAGCCCAGCAATGATTTTCAACCACATCACTAATTGAGCTTAGCCCGTAAAACAATGATTCTGAAAATATGGTTATAATTATTTTTAAAATATTAAAAAAATATTTTTTAAAAAAATATTTTTAAAATTAAAGTATTAAAATAATCTAAAAATATTAAAAATATTAATTTAAAACAAAAATAAATAAATCTTTTTTTAAACACAAAAACAAATAAGTATTTAGAAAAATACAGTGCGCTTTCCCATTACCGTTTCTATGCACTTGGAAATCTTTTATTTATGCTTGAAAGCAGTTACTTTTTAAAATTAATTTATTTTAAAATATATTAAAATAATAATTTTTTATTTAACATTACAGCACTATCACAAGTGCAGACATTTGATATGATATTCTCGTAAATAAATATTTCTCTAATTATTCCTTATCGAGCTAGAATTTATGAGTATTCTATGATTTCGATTAAGTTTTTAAATAAATACTAGGTCCAACATAAAAAGGTTATTTTGTGTTTTAACTAGTTTCATTCTTCATGATTATAAAGCAAAAAAAAATGCAAAGAAATAAATGGGTGATGATGCAATTCTTTTACCCAGAAGAAAAACTATAATGGTTAATACATGCATCTAGTATATATACTAGAAATGATAAAAGGTCCGTTTATTCTAACCAAAATTTAAGTTAAAGAGTTGAAATAAAAATATATATTAAAATATATAATGTCATATTATGTCAAGCTCTTCAAATTTTCTTATTTAATTATACAATAATAAAATCATTTTTTGTTAGAAAAGGTAATTTAAACTCCATTGAAAAACAAATTCTCATATAATCCCTTCTTTTTCTAATTAATAGATTTTCTCAACAAAAAAACATAATTTTTTGCTCATGGATTCTTAATTTAATAATTAAAAAAAAAAGAATGTGAGTAAATAAATATATTTTATGATCATCCAATATTAATAAGCAAATTATTATTAAAATTTCATATATCTTTCTAATACATAATCATCTATAAAAAAACAAAAACATACTATCATCTAAAACAATTATGTAATCTTCTCCAGAACAACTTTGGCTTTATTGTTCTAGGGAGTGCATTTTTCTAGTAAAAGAGAGCAGTGATTAAAATAAAAACTTTAAAAAAAAATTAATTTAATTGAAATAAATAGAAAACATGTATTTGTTAAAAATAAATTCAATTTTTTTATTAATATATCTTTTGATTATCTTAATAAAAGTAAATTCTATGACTGGAATCACTATCTAGAAGAGAAGGAAATTTGATGATTATCAACGCAAGTTAATAAAATATACATTAAAATAATGATTTCATATTTAGTGTATGATTGGAAAAAAAAAGTGATAAATTCATGTGAAGATCTATTTCAATTTTTAGAAATAAAAATTTGATTTTAAAAAACTATTCATGAGCAATTTATTATTATTATTAATGAATTTTCATATTAGGTATATAATAATTAAAATAAAAAATTTTAATTTTTAATGTAAACTTATAATATTATTTAAAAACCATATCAAAATTAAAAGATGAATTATCATATTAAGAAAATAACATGTTGCTAAAAAGAACAAAGAAACAAGAAAAAAAGGTGGGGTCCTGTCCAAGGCTCTGGTCCAATCACAGAAAAGTCAAGCACAAGTGGGCTTGGTGTCAAGGCTCGTGTGACTGGCCATGTTTATATTTTTAAAAGGACAGACAACTAAATGAAAGAGGCCATGTCCAAGCCCCTAGTCCAATCAGAAATAAGTCAAGCACACGTGGGCTTGTTGTCAAGGCTCGTGTGGCGGGCCATGTTTATATTTTTAAAGGGCAAACCTGTACCTTATTTTAAAAAAAAAAAAAAAAAAAACCCTCAATCTATCTTCTAGTTTTCTGATTTCTGGCCACAACAGGACGTCAAAAGGTAAGGCCGTTGAGTTTGGAACCAAGAAGAGCTATTTTAATTTATTTTTTAACTGAAAAAAATAAAAACCACCATATAAATCTCAATAAACCAATTTATAACTTTAAATTATCCAAAACTAGGTTAGGTAATATAAAAAAAAAAAAACCCCGAATAATCTTTTCAAATCTCGAACTACTTAGGCTAACAAAATAAAAATCAAACTCCTCTCATATCATTAAAATAAACATGTTGGCACCAATATCATCACTAGAATTCTTTTTCAATTAACTAGAAAAACTAAAAAAATAAACTTTAAAACCAAAATAAGAAATGTAAAATATGTGGGCTTCACCACGCATATTCAATGCATTTTACATTGCGGCCCTCTTTTAATTTTGTTTTTATAAAAGGATTAAACAAAGACACTGAGGACAAAACAAGACGGATAAAAAAAAAAACTATGAAGCATCATGTCAGATCCTCAAGTTTTTTAGTGTATAGTAGTAACTATGTTATCTTCCATTGTGCGATCACATGTTTCAGTAGGGTTTTTAAGGGAGAGAATAAAATCAACTGTGAAATGCACACCGTATGGTAAATTAAATAAACACAGACATTGTTGTCTTACATTAGAGAATTCTATACGCAAAATATTAACAGAGGTCCATGTTGTTTGTCACTGTTAATAAACAAAGATTCAAATTGCCAAGGCATGCAAACAACTGATGTAAGAATTCCAAGCTATAATGAATGTGAGTAAATGGAAAGAAGGATAAGCATAAGCTATGAGCGGATGCCATGGGAAACAACAATTAAGGAGCAGTCTACTAAAAAGAAGTACAGTTTTTGATGATGCAGCAAGTATAGTGAAAAAGGGCAAGGAGGATGCAGCAGCAAGTTCATATTTTCACAGCAAATTACAAGGCTGAGATAGATTGGGGGGACGACATGAAAGCAGCGTTAACGTAATTGACTTTACTTTAGGCAAGGAGAGAACCTAAAATCACGTCCTGGCAATTAGCAGCAGCACCAACCTAGAAAAAAGGATAAAAAAAGAACAAGCTGAAATTGGTACCAAGGCTAAGAAAAAGGGGTCAGAGAAAATGGATAAGAGGTTGAAGGCGATCAAATCCTGCGAAGGAAAAGGCAAAAGAGCTGATAACCATTCAAGCAAAATATGAACAAAACATATAAAATTGATGCAAAGAGACATGAGCAACTGATAAAGAAATAGAAAGGAAAATGAAATAAAAATTAAAAAAAAAATTGGAAAAACATATAGTTAAACAGAGCCTTATTGGCTGTGTCACCATGCCAAGATGGATGCACAAAATTAGACGTTTTAGGATTCAAAATGCCTCTTGCTTTTTTTGTGTTAGCAGGAGGCATTTTACTCCAGTGTCCATTTCTTTCTACTCCAGTGTTGCATTCATTCTGGGACAGCCAACCATTAACCTCGTGATCATGTGATCATGTGATCATGAGCATTAGCTTAGAAGTCTTCTACTGACCTGAGACAATGACAAAGTTGTGAAGTCCTGTGAATCTTAAAGAATCGACTTAACATGCATATCTACTGAATCACCATCGAAAAGCAGCCAAAACCAACCATTAGTTTTTATAAGCTAAAAAGCCAACAAATCCATAAATGCCATGCAGTTTGTCAACTGAAAACGTAGCAAATGCACCAACGAAACGATCAGCAGGCAGCAGCAACCCAAAACTACATAGCTCAGAGAGGCAATAACCCATGCACAAACAAACAGATAGATCCTACTTACCCTATGACGACCTAGATGCTACAGATGAGGCCAACATATCAACCTAGCATGCCATCCACTAACAGTAGCAATTGAAGATGGATGCCAAGGATAGTCCCTGCCAAAAAAAGTTTAAAGATGAAGCCTCAACAAAAACCAGTTACAACAGACATAGACAACGCACTGAAAAATGGAAGAAACGTATTTTGAGGGTGGGGGGGGATTCAATCCAAAAGCAGGGCGTTGGTAGGACAAATCGTGAGCTAGGAAAGAACAAAAAAAAGAGCACAAAGAGAAATAAATCAAGCACCCAACAACAAAACACAGCCTTCTTCGCTAAAGGAAAAGGCGAAAAAATAGAAAAGCCCGTAGACCATCCCACAAACCAACAACATCCGAAACCCAATGAATTTATAGCTCAACAAACACCACCAACCCAATCACCCACGCCACAAACATCTCAATCACAAACAGAAGCAACTGACATGAAATTGCCTGGAAAAGAGCAAAAGGAAACAGGCAGTCAGAGACCAGCTAAATGAGCAAAGAGAAGGGGACTTACATGGCGGAGCCCAACTACAGAGAAGAGAGAGCAGCAACCGAACGATCCAAAAAATTGGTCACCAATGAAGCAATCGACAAGTCTCCCCGAAGAAATCCCATTACACCAATGAACAGAAGCATACAAAGCACAACACAAGTAGACTGTGCATTTAATGCACAATCATTCCATATCCATTGAACAATAAAAGACAATGCCCGCTTGACCCAGCCAATCAGCTAAGTTCCGCGCTAAGAGACAGCAATAAACGGCCAAGCAGCCCCCCAGCAAGGCTCACCCAAGCTGTCACAGCCAAGACCCAAGACCTGTCTTCGATAAATTAAAAAAAAAAAATGAATCAGGCGCAGCCAGCATGAGCCAACAAAAGTGAGAAATCTTGTGAGAAATCGCAGGCAAACAACGATATGCACTGCATAAATCAACAGTGCATCACCTCAGAAGTCACAGTGTATATCTGAGTTCTTTTAATTTTTTTATAATAATTATAATTATAGTTCATAATAATCGTATCTTCTTCGATGT